TGTCAGCTAAAATAACGCATTAACGATATAAACAAAGAAAATTGTGTGGTACTAAATTAAATTGAAGAATATTGACTAGGCATCATATCCCTAATTTCAAGGAGACTCTAAACGATGATTCTATCCATACACATTCTTCAAAATTATATCACGGATGCTTGTGTTCCAATCCTACACACTCTCTGTCTATATCTTATCTTAATCTTTTGTTTCTTAGCATATCTTGTCTTCATATTAAATATATATAAAATTATTACGGATAACTTAGTGATTTGAATGAAACAATGTTGACTTTTTTAAACTAAAATTTTAAATTTAAATATTTTAAATAAAAAAAATAAATATTAAAAGAGTTTTTTTTTAGTCTAATTTGGTTTAATTTTGAATTGGTTAAAATTTAATATAATTTTTAGATACCAAAAGTTTAATAAAAAAATTATATATATAATTATTGTAATAATAAATTTCTCCTTAACATTTTTAAGTAAATACCAATTGAAAATTTGAAAAATTGTTGATAAATAACCAATGAGTTTTAAAAGAATTTCAATCTATATACAATGAGTTATTTTAAAAAAATTATATAAAAATAATTACAGTATATATATTATTTTGATTACACAATGCGAAGCAATCATTTCCCATCTTTTATTTCACCCCATCCACGTATCATGTAATTCGAATTCAGGATCTCTTACTATCAGCGGAAGAAGATGCCCACTGAACTATTTAAGTAATTAACAATAATTAAAGTATATTAAATATTATAATCCTACATTAATAAAATTTGATTTAATTTTTATTAATTTTATTCAAGCATTATTATTATAACATTTGAATTTACTTTTTTTTTAAAAAAATTAATTATATAACATTAATAGTATATTTAGTTTGCCGGTAGAAAATAAGAGGGGAAGAGAAAGGATAAAAATTCCTTTATTTAGTTAATATAAAATTTAAAGATACAAAAAATCCTTTATTTTATTTTTTTTAAATAAGAAGGTGGGAGGAGAATAAAGAAAAATAAAAAAATGACTTGCCCTTCGATTTTCCTTTGCTCCCTCCCATTTCCTTAATTTTTCACAAATCAAATATACGATAACGATAAGGTTATAATTGTATAGATGAACGAACAAAAGGAAAAATTAATTAAAAAAGGGGCTACAATTGTATAAATGAACGAAAAAAAAAGGGAGTTGCGACGCATAATTCCATGCGAGCTTCTTTCTTTTTTTCTTTTTTTCTTTAAAAAAAAAAACTAGTGTCGGTCCTTAGTCCTCAGCTTTGTAGAATTTTTACACTTTAATCCTTAAATTTTAGAATTCTACAATCTGGCCTTCAATCTCACTAGTTTATTCATCCTTTTACATTGCAAAACATTGTAATTTAGTTCCCAGTTTATGAGATTTAAAAATTAAGTCCTATCCTATGCAAATAAAAGAATTATATAAAATCGAGTAAAATTATATTAAATCCATTTAGATATTAATAAAATTAAGGGTAAGTTAGTATCATATTATGTACAATAATTTAACCTATCAAATATTATAAGGAAAGTTGTTAAATTTTGCATTGAAGTTTTGTTAAGATTTTTATTGACCTATTAACATTGAATTTCTGTTATTAAAAAGAGAACCAAATGGAGGATTTAAGAGAGTTTGAGTAAAAACACTAAGGGACTAGGGAGTGTGAAAATGAAATACTATGGTTGTATATGGTTGTATTTGATTTGAAAGAAATGATGTAAAGGAGAGGTAAGATATCTTTTTTATTTGGTTTTTTATTTAAATAAAAAAAAGAGGAAGAAGCTTTCCTCATTTTATTTTATTTTTTTAGCTTTTAATTCCTTCATTTATTTTAGCTTATCCAAATGAAGGGAGAAGAGGGGAGGGAAATGTCAAATATTGCCTTTTCTTAGTTCCCCTCAAACCAAACGTATCCTAAGAGAGACCTAATGGTGTAAACCACCTATTAAGTATTAAGAGAATTAATCACATTATTGTTTATTGACTCTACATAATCAAATAATATATTTGATTCTTCAATGTAATTCATTTATTTTTGTATTTGTCTACCCTAAAGTCTATATAAAGGCTGTAATATATAACTGCCTACACATGTCTGGATTATGATAAGAGTGCCTTTCATCCAATTCCCTCGTCTTGCTTTCTTTTGCTTTAAACCTTAATAGCACCAAGAGATTGTGTTTTGTAACTCCATGTGTGGGTGGATTTGAGAGACAGTTTGTGGTGAGAATTAAAGGCCATCTATTATGAAAATTTAACATGTGGACTAAAATGCAAGATTAGTATATAATTTAAATCAATTACCAATAGGTGGAGTTACTTATCTTTCCTTACATAGGTCTGATTTATTATGCAAATCTTAAACTTTTTTGAAAATGAAATCTAAGCTTTAATACTATATGCTAATTGAACATGTGAGTCAAAACATAAAATAAGCATCCAATCTAAAATTGCTTAGCACCTATTTAATATTTAAGTTGCAAATGTTCTTTTTATCATTTTAATGTGGAATTTTTTCATTTAACAGGTTCTCCAATTAGTGATAAAGGAAAATAGTAATTTAGCATGTAGGTAAAATATAATTAAATTCAACATCTAATCTAAAACTAGTTGATCTATTTTATATTTAAAACACATGTTATTTTTATTATTTGAATTTGAGATTTTTCCATTTGACATCCATATCTTCTAAATTGATATGCTCTTACTTGATAATATGGATTTCTCTTATTCTTAATAATTTGTTTGGGTTTTTTATCATTTGGAGTTTTCCACGTAAATTAGTTTGTTAATCTCTTTACATGTTGGATTTCTATATTGATCCTTTATACTGTTGTGAGGGGAAATCATTGTGATGGTGTGAAAATGCTAATCAATTTTGCCTCTCAATCGGGATCATGCCTTCAAATTTTTGGTGCCAATTAAAACTCGATCTTACCATCGCATGTTCTTTTTGTTCTTCCTTTCTCGTACAAATTCATGTTCTTGTTTGCATAAACAAGATTTTGGAAAGGAGACCAATTTTCTCCCAAGTTGATGTGCATTCAGGGACAAACAACAAGCTTTGTGCACCAGGAGAAAGCACCAAGAAAAAATGCAGCAAGGATGCAGAAGCTACCCTGCAGCACCACCAACTACAATAAGCCGGTGTAATTTTGTCAAAAATGGCCACACAAGTCAGCAAAAATGGCCACAAAAGTCAGCAATTAAAAATGGCTAACTCCCAACTGCAATTTGCTTTTCATTTATTACCTTTAGTTGATTTCAGCCTATAAATACCCATGTTCTCTCTGTTATATGCATCGAGTTTCAATTTCTAATTCTCCTCTGTTTGAGTAAGTTACTTTTAGAGTGGGTTTTTTTCAATTTATTTTTGTATCTTACGTCTTGTCAATTTAAGTGGTGTTTCAGACAATTGAATTCATTAAAATGAGATTCTAAATCTCACCAAAATTGGTGTGTAGGTATCGGCTCCTGCACCACTTTGTAATAATCCAATATAAGTGTAACCTTGTTCACAAATTAACCTTCTTGTTTTTGTGCATGGTTCATCTTACTTAGCGTCACTATGCCTATGTACCAAATAAGGTTATTTATACAGGTAGTCTATACAACAAGAATCTTCCCTCTTCAACCTTTTTATCTATTCAAGATGAAGAAGTGTTTCTTCAACAGAGGCTCCTGAGTCTCTATCTCCTGCGAGCAATGGGAAACTGCCTTAGGAAACATAGCCAAGATCCTAATCAACCTGTTCCCATTGCTGAACTATCAGCTAGTTTGTCTTCCATTTCCTCTTTTCCTTTCTTGAATTGGATATGAAAATTATTCCTAATGTTGTTTGTGATTTCTCTTCTGCTTCTGCAGCAAAGCATATTAGGGATGCAATTCATGCTTGGTTCTCTAAGGACTCCCAGGGATTGGCCAGCTTCAAAAAACAGGAATAGAATAATTCCTCCCAGCAATCTCAACAGCTTTGGTTACAATGATCTGTATAATGCCACCCGTAAGTTCGGTGCCAGGAATTTGCTGGGTCAAGGTGGCTTTGGAGATGTGTATAAGGATACATAGATTTATATACCATGAAGGCTGCAAAACCGGAATCTGGCTCTCCAGTTGCCATCAAGAAACTAAGGAGAAGAGGTGCTCAAGGCCATAAAGAATGGTTGGTCTGCTTCTCATGAGGCCATGAAAATTCATTTTCCTCTATGCCTATCTTTCTCCTTTCCTGTGTCTCAAATGTAGCTTTGTGGCTGCAGAATGAGTTGAGATTTCTGAGCAGATTGAATCATTCAAATATAGTGAAGCTTATAGGATATTGCTACAAGGATGAGCAGAGGATTTTGGTTTACGAGTACGTGTCCAAGGGAAGTTCGGAGGCGCATCTCTTGAGTGGTTAAAAAAGAGTAAAATGCTTCAAAAACTACAACTAGTCTAGAAGTTGTATGGTGCTGGTACTGAATTGCTGTGATTGGCGTAACAGGACGTGGTACAGAGCTAAACTGGAGCAAAAGAATCAAGATTGCTATCGGGGCAACCAGGGCGTTAGATTATCTTCACCATGCTCATTCGAAGCCAGTTATTCATCGTGATCTCAAGGCCTCAAATGTTCTTTTGGATGCCGTGAGTTTCTGTCCTCATTACTAGTTTTTCCTGAATCCTAACAGTAACAATCATTCATTTTGCAAACGTAAACCACAACGTTACTAGACATTACAGGATTTCAATCCCAAGTTATCAGACTTTGGACTGGCGAAGTTTGGACCTGGGGAAGGCAAATCATAGACAACTTCAAGCTTCCTTGGCACCAGAGGATATTTTGCTCTTGAATACTTTACTCCTGGTATCATCTCATAACTCTAAACTGGAATTCGATAGTTAGATCTGATGTAGGGAGCTTCGGCATGGTACTTCTGGAGACACTTTCGGGTTCTGCTGCCGTAAGGATGCTCTCAGACGGCAGAGCAGGGGACCTTACAGATTGGGCAAAGCATTATTTAAGTGACAGAATGAGATTGCATTACATTAATGACAAGAAAATAGCAAGGAGTATTCAGATAGAAGAAGCCAATAAATTTGCCTAAATCATCTGCCAGTGTCTCAGCTTAGATCCGAGGTCCCGACCAACAATGAGTGAAGTCCTATCTGATTTGGAGAAACTGTAACAAGAGATGGTCATCCGCAATCCGAGCTTGATTAGACCCTTAACATACCCCAATGACATACTTCTATGAAGAGCTTCCACTTCCACAATCTACTTCAACAAGGCTTAAAGAAAGATAGGCATGTTACTGAAACCAGGGAAAAAGCTCATACACTGTAAGTATGAGTTGAGACAGAAAGATGGCCAGTTGAAAGTATTGACTCATAAAAGGAGAAATCAACATCTGTCAAGGTAAAGAATATGTAGTTACAGAAGAAATCAATACCCTAATGAAGAAAGCAGATTACAACAAGAAGATGCTCTAATTTTCATTAATACAAGGGAGAAATAGCAGAGGGAAGCACACCCAAACTTACATTTTATGATAAACAGAATATATGGATGCATTTAAAAAATTTACAGATGAAAGCATTTTTTTTTTTTCAACGTACACGTGGAGATTGCTTATGAGACGGTAAGGGTGATGCACTGGGTGTGATGTTCAGAGGAGAATGATGTGTTCTCATTGGAGACTTTCTAATAGGGAGCGGTGCTGTCTCCTGTTCTGTTGAGTGTCTAGGTGCAATTTTTGGGGCGTCAAGCTGTTCTAGTGTTGCTAAAACATCTGACATTCGAGGCCTCAGCTTGGGCTCGGTGTTCAGGCACTGGAAGGCAGTTGTAGCAGCTGTAAAGGCACCTTTCTGGGGGTACTGGCCCCCCAACTTAGTGTCCATGATTCGAAATAATTTTCTTTTGTCACCCAGATATGGTTTTGCCCAGTCTACTAGATTCTGCTCTACACCAGATTTTGTTTTATCAACAGCTTGCCGTCCAGACAGTAGTTCTAGCAACACAACTCCAAAGCTGTATACATCACTTTTTGCTGTCAACCGACCTGTTCAGCCATTTAAATTTCATCATAAATGTAACTTCAATGTGTATGATTTATGAAGCATGCTCCATTTCATGGGAAATTAACGTATGCAGAAATCATGTCATGTGAATAGATTTTGCAAATAATTATTTTTGCTTAATCTGATGGATTATACAACAAGGTATAATGCTCCCCTTTTCCAAATCCCCCCACACATCTCAAGGTTCAAAACTGAAACAAACATTTGAGTCTCAAGCTCTTACCGGTTGAACTTTGTGATATTTGGTAACAAATGCATCAAAACAAGCGTAATTATTGGATTTTAACTAAGGAATCACAAGAAATCAACTTTACATACTTTCTACATATATTCCCCTGTTGACTTGATATATAACAGATGTGCAAAAAGTTGAAAGAAGTTATGAGTAATCAGAAGTTTAATAAAAACATAAATTTCCATGTTATACCATCAAATTGTTCTAGTCAAGGACTTCAAGGTTTTCTGTGACTGAAAAGGAAAAAAGCAAGGAAAATATTTTCTCAGATTATAATATATTTATTTTTGTTCAGCGACAAATATACATGATAGCAAGGTATGATAATCCAGAAATGGATATTTGACAGACCTGTAGCAACATATTCAGGTGCTGCATAGCCATGAGTACCCATGACCTGAGTTGACACATGAGTCCTATCACCAGTGGGGCCTGCCTTTGCCAACCCAAAATCAGAAAGTTTTGCATTGAATTCCTGCATTCCAGGACAAAAAGAAAAAAAAAATTATGGAATTTGATTTAGACATACTACTGCAAATCCAACAACATTTCTTTCCTACTCTCCACATACCACATCTAGTAGAATATTGGAAGCCTTGAAATCACGATATATGACTTGAGACTTTGCATCATGAAGGAACGAAAGGCCCCTTGCAGCACCTATGGCCACCTTCATCCTTACTGCCCAAGAAAGGGGTTCTGACCCCCCTGTAAAGAAGATACAACATAAAAAATTTACAAATAACCCAAGCATGCAGCATCAAAAAATAACCTCAGTATATTATATGCTGTATTTTTTAGCTTGTCGAAGATACACCAGCATATAGGGGAGCTAAGGTATTAGTTTGGAATATTTATATGTCATAAAAACCTCTAGTGAAGATAAAAATGCATTTGAAAGAAAACAATCAAGTTGAAAAAGGGTAAAGGAATCAGAAAGAATCAATGAAATTTATTATCTAGTAAGTTCCAGGATCTGCAATGTCATTCAGAGTCTGTCATAACAGCTATAGTCAAGTGATTTCTCCAGTACTTCATTTATGCTTCATGCTAGAAATCTAACAAAATCTACCACGAGGGAGTTCTCCAAAAAGAATATCTCCATTTTTTGTTAGCATACTCATTCATCTGGGAAGATACTCGTCCTCAGATCTCATGTAAACATTGAGAAACACAAGAATAAAGTCCTAACTAATTCGACACTCTTACCAGGCAAGGAAAATAAATTTCTGTAGCACAAATATTTCAAGGAAAATACAAATGCCTAAAAGGTAAAAGCCAATCCCAACAATAGCCTCAAAGCAAGGCCAGACTCTAATGACATATATACAAAGACCTACTTTATCTGCACAAAGAAAACATTGCCAACCCAACACTACAGATGAGAACAAGCTGCTCTGTTAATTCAGAACTGCAATTTGTGAGGGAATGATTACAATCTCTTCAATGCATCACAGTATTGCACAAGAACTACAAAGAACTATTATCAGTAATAACAAAGATGTGGATATTAGGTATAAAGAGAACAAACAGATATGTCCACAGTAAATCACGAGACAAGTCAGTACCATGTACCCTAACACTTTTCAACACTGCCCTACAAAGCTGAGAAGAAAAATATGAGGAACTTGATTTACAAGGCATTTTTAGAAGTGGAGAAATAAATAAGTCAAGCTGGTCAAACAAAATTTCCTCATTTTCCTTGGAAACAAACTTTCAAATTTCTGTTATATAGTTTATTATCTGCAACTCAAAATGCAAGGATCAATTTCTCAGGAACTACAATCACAGAATATAGTGTTATTTGATACTTCCATATGTTTTCTTATAAAAACAAGGGATGTGATGATGCCTGCTTTTAAAAAGATATTCTCTCTAGTCTCTACAATCAAAACATTGAATGTGATACTTACTTCTAAATAGATGATTCTCTAAACTCCCTTTCGGCATGAACTCATAGACCAAAAGTCGGTTCTCACCCTCCAAGCAATATCCAATCAGCTTGACAAGATTTGGATGATGAAGTTGGCCAAGGTAATTAACTTCTGTCTGAAACCAACACCTCTTAGTAAAATTGGCAAGCAAAATATTTAGGAGAAGCACTTATGGGAAGAAAATATAAACAGTGAATTGAAAAGAAAAAGGGCAAAAAGATTTCATAGTGAAATGAAACTTACCAACCACTCCTTGTGGCCCTGAAAACCTTCAGGTTTAAGCTTCTTGACTGCAACAACCAATCCTGATCCAGGCTTTGCAGCTGCAAAAGTGTTTTCATCAATCCATCCTTTGAAAACAAAGCCAAATCCACCTTCCCCAAGAAGACTGTCAGGACGAAAGTTTCTGGTGGCACTCTTTAACTCATTGAATGAGAAGGCTTTTAAATTTGGGGACGACAATATTTCTCCTTCGGATCTAGGTGCAGCAAGAGACTCATAATTGCTTTTCTCGCTGTATGGGATTGTCAGGCTTGAAGGAACTGAAGAACGGCTGGTGTGGCTAGTTTTGCTGGAAATTCTTGAGGCCCCTGATGCTAGCAAGAAAACAGATTAGTTTGGAATTCTTGATTTCAAGTTGCCGAGTTAAAAATTGCAAACTCTATCTCGAACATTAAATTAGAGTAACCAACCACCTATGGAAATGGAATTCCCCTCCCCTTAGACTTTTGAATGACAAACTCACTCAAAATTTTCGTAATTGTGATACATAATGCGGATAGGTTTTTCTATGTCCCATATTTCTTTCCTGAATTTCATGAGCAAGCTTCTCTGACTCATATCCACTTATCAATGATATAAAATAAAAAGACTGTTTATATAAAACATAGTCATCCCCACTTTCTGTGATTTGTTCATAATCATAGAGACCGATTCCCATATTGTGCAGGGAGCTTCATTTCTAGTGCAATTCCTTTGACATTTTCTTAAAACAGTATTTAATGCAGTTTTGCACCATCAATAGAGGAATCCCAAGTCAAACCTCAAAAAGTTAACTTAATTTGAAAACAATCAATTTAGGGGACCAACCATCCCTACAAAAATAAAGAAACAACACCCAATAAAACCAGCAAAAGATTTGAAGCAGTTAAGACATAAAGGATCTGGGGCAGCATTAAAGAACCTTCCATAATTCAATAGGACCCAATTAAGATTTATGCAACAACAAAATATACCCAGAAAAAAAAAAGGCATAGAACACCAATGAATTTAAATTACGATTACATAAAATGAATAAACGACTTTAAACAATTAGACAAAAGCATGTGATGTTATTACCAGAAATAACATGGGAGCTCTGGCTGGTGTCTACTCTAGCAGAAGAAGAATGTAAGCAATTGCCCATCAGAAACCCAAAAAGATTCCCCCTCTCAAAATCGAAACAAAAAAAAGAAACCTGTTTTGCTTCCTGTTCCTTCAATAAATACCAAACTAATAACCCATGACTCAGCTTCTGAAATCCGAGGAAGAAAGATAACAACTTTGTGATCCTCCTTTGGTGGGTCAATAGTAGACGGTTGAAGGGAGGTAAAGGAGAGATTTTTTTCAGGGGAGAAATGGAATTAAGAGAGAGAATGAGGAGATGGTGTTGAGGTCAAGGAGAGAGAAGAGAAGAAACAGAAGGGTAGAACTTGGAAGGAAGCGAAGAAGCAGAATGGAAAGTGCTGAGAAGAAACGGACTTTCCTGTGGCCGAGTTGCGCTTTTCTTGTGGACGCTAGTCACGCGACAAACGCGTGCGGGGACTTTTAGCTCACCGCTTACGTTCGAGGGCATTGCACCAGTAAGTAATTATTCTTTCTCTTTTTTTTTTTTTTGATGTTTTAACCCTCTAACTTTATTTATGATCATTTAAGGTCTCCAAATGAACTACACTATTTAGTACCAGTCTTTGTCAGGACCCAGAGTTTTAATGTTGTTGCAGCAACGATCTTTCGTTAATGGCATTACACATTTAACTAACTCAACAACCTAATTAAATACAAAAGCATTTAACTAGTAGCAATGCCATAATTATAATATAACGTAAGATAGTAAATTTATAATTTTATATGATATTAAAAAAATATAACATATAATATTAAATAAGTAAATTTATTCAATATTACATATGAATTCTTGAATAAAAAAAATTAATTGTATAATGATATGATATGTTATCGATCTACAATATCACGTGCTCATATAACTCAACAACCTAATTAAACATGGAAGCAAAGGTTGATTTAAACATGTAACTCCAGAGTAAACTAATGTGAGCACTTTATTTTGACAAATTGAAGAGTGTTTAATAAAGTTTATTTGAAAGAATTTTCAAATTGAAGAAGTTTATTTTTTTTGTAATGGTCAACTTTACTTCTTCTTTTTTTTTTGTCCAACGATTGGAGTAGTTGTTTGATTTGTTTCTAACAAAAGAATATTGAAATTAAAAGAAAGGCATTTATTTAAAAGACTTAAATATTTGACAATTTGCAAAACAATTTATTTTAAAGTGACTTGAAGTTTTTTTATTTTTATTTTTATGGAAAAGTCTTTTTCTTATTAAAATTAACTCTTTATAATAAAAAAAATGTGTGATTTTAGTTTGAATAAATAGCAAAAATCCCAAAAATATAAAATATCTACTAATGCAACAAATAATTCCCAACTAATCAGCAAGGAAATCCACAAAACGAGTCCCTACATTGTAGAAGTTGTACTCAGCTCTTAGAGAAGCGATTTAAACTTCGTACTAGCTTGTGCTTTTGAGCTTGAGAAGCTCTTCCAACGAGTTGGCCAAACAGCAATTAACAAAGCATTCACGAGCACTTAAGCTCATATATGTATATCTCAACTTAACTTTGGACCATAGTCAACAGGGTCATATAGTTCAGGGACTTTAATAGTCGGAAACTAAGTTAGGGGCTTAAAAAAACCAACTCAACTTAGAATTTGGGGCAAACTTTTGGAGGTTTTTTTTTTCCCTATGTTCAGTTGAGAATAATATTTTTTTAGGGGAATTTTTTTTTATCAGCAAAACCAAATGAATAATTTATTAATTTAAGAGTATAAAAAATATTCTTTAAACATAATACAACTCTAAATCTAAGAAACAAGATGCAGACATGTTACATACTCAGAAAAAAACAAAAAGTTCACAAAGAAGCTCCAAAAAAAAAAAATGTAAAAACAATGCAACACATAGTTCTATTCAACAACTTGTAACTTATCTAATTTTTGTGATGTTACACAATACTTTCTCTACATTTCACATATCTTAATATTGAGTCTTGATAAGTGAACCCACACCTTTTCACTTTGTTTTTTAACCATACAAAAATGACATCTCATCATCTTCAAATGTTGCAAGTCAAACTCAAATGACAGCTCGTTTTATACAGTATTTGATTTATTTTGTTTTCTTTATTGGCTTTATTTTTCTTTTCAATATTAAAATATCTCATTTTTCTGATTTTTTATCCCTCATAAAGAGAATCTTTTTACTAATTTTTTTTTTAAATTGTTGAATTTTGAAACTTAGGAGTGGTTGGAAATTTTGGTGGATTTTAAATGTGTTTTGACTTACAGAATCCAGCTCACCCGTATAATCAATTTCCTAAACTCGATCTAATACTGGTACTAAATAAATTAGAAAACTGCCAATTGTCAATTCATTTGTCTCACTAAATGAATAAAGAAAATAAAAACTATCGTTACCTCTGGTGTAAACGTTTTATTTAAAAAATCTCAAGTTGACTTGTTCCATAAATAAATATCAGCTCAAGTATAAGATGCAATTCAAATAAATTCAACTATTAAAAAAATAGGAACTAAAATATTACGATAACTATACAATACAAAATACCAGTACCCATCAGTGGTCAATTGATGATTTGGGAGATTGGGGGGCCGGACTAGAGGACGAAAATTATGTATACTGATCTGCTTATCTGTACTGATGGCATGTTGTACAAGGGCATGGATAACTCTTAAACTCTATTAATAACATCAATTTTTTACTATTAAAAACATAAAGAATACTAGTCTATAACTATATATCACTCTTTTGGTTCTTGAAACCCTCCTAAGTTGTTCAAAATTTGAATCGAAGATTTAATGGGTTAATATTAATATATTATTTCACAATATGAATTCTATCCACCAAAATAAAAATAAAAATAATATAATGTTTACATAATATTATAAATTTAAAATATAATATATTATTATATAATTAATTATTTTTATTTATAAATATATTTATAATATTATATAAATTTATTAATTTAATAATATATTATAATTATAAATTTAATTTTATATAATATTATAATTATTTTATTAAAAAATAAAAATATGACATCGTTTAAATGCACAGTCGAAAACTTCCAAGTGCACGACAAAATGTGGATGTCTTCATTTATTTTAAAGGAAAATAAATATTAGTGCGTGGAAATGATTTATGCATGAGAAAATTTGAACGTCAGAGTGGGGTATGGGATGATGGAGATGGGGATGGAGGACAAGAGAGCCGTGGGGACCGGGGCCATGCGTTCACTTGCAAACACAACTAGGTACAATGTGTGGGCCTAACCAATTAAATCTTTTGGAATAATATTTGATATTTTTTTTACCAAAAAAATATACTTGATATCTTTGACCAATTCTATGCTCATACTTTTGGAATAATTTTTAAATTATTTGTTTAATTTCATAAATTAAAAAATATTAATTGTATATTTAGTATAAGAGACCTAAAAAGCAGAAAAAAGAGAGAGAAAAACTAAATAAAAGAATGTTATATATCTTTATTTTTCTCCCCTCTTTTTCTTTTATAAAAATAATAATAATATTGTAAGTGACTCATCTCTTTTGTTGTTATCTCAAACCAAACAAAATTGAAGAAGAAAGTGCATAACGTGA